ACCTACAGGAAATCCCAATTCAATTAAATCACAAAAACAATGAAACACCGCCATTAAATTTCCAATAAACATTTGAATTCTTCACACAAACATACCTGCCTAGCAAGGCCAAGGCTAACATGATCAAGAATCTTGAAATCAGACATCTTGAACCTCATAACATGCCCTGACTCTTCTTCCTCCACAGAAACAACCTCAGATTCAACTCAAGAAACAACCTTCCTCGAAGATGAACACTGAACTCCAAAACTTCTCCTTTGAAACATCACACATGACTTTGACTTCCCACAAACTACCTACTAATCAGCCTTGTTGACAAATTCCCACTTAAACTTCATCTCTCAACACCCTTCAAACCCGAACTGGAACCAATCCTACATATTGCCATATAGCCAATTTGCAAAAAGACAATTTTGGATCATTCTGAGAACAAAAACAACTATAGACGTTTAGTTATCATGTCATTTTAAGGAACATATAAAAAAATCAATATTTAAATCTAAGTCATTGAATTATACAATGAATTGAATCATTCAACACATATAGAATAAGTTTAAGTTCAATTGTTGAGAAACTTATTCACTACTTAATTAAAAAACTTTTAAAATTTAAATCCAACCCATTAAGTTATACAATGAAATGGAATCTTTAAGAAATGGATTAAAAGGTGTAAAATAGTAATGTAGAATTATGCGTTAACTGTAGAATAAACAATATTTATATTAGCTTCTAGTATCATCATTCAGTGGGAACAATATACTGTGAATCTTTTATCGATTTTATTGATAATAAAACTGTTTATCTATATAGTTCTATTTTTTTCCTTGTGGAATACCAAGTTCCTTTTCTTTGGCAATAATCAAGGATTCACGTTTCCGTAAATCGAATATTACATGTATGGTTAAGCATGTTATTTCTAACAAAAAATTCATTATATCTCTATTCATCACTCTGGTAGTGTTGAGTTTGTCCAGCGTGACTTTAAGGTTTTGTAGAATACCTTCCAGTTCAGGCAAACCATCTGACGTTGCTGCTTGACCTGCTAAAATCAAAAAATGGACATGTCAAAGTAGATATGTAGAAGGAATATAAGAGTAATCAGTTGATGTTATTTACCGCACGCTTCTGTTTGTTTGGATTTTGGATTGACAATAGTTGGTCTTTTGTCTTCCATTTGTTAATGGTATCTGTGCAAAATGAAAGAAATATTTGAAGGTGAATGGATTGTTGAATTCTCTACTCCTATATAGCTTTAGATGTCATTAAGTAATATTATATGATAATCAATGATTACAACAACTGTTCGTGTTATGTTCAATCTAATTGGATTATTGCTAATTAATATGACTTTTGATATTTTTTAGTAAGTGTTTGCATGTTATTGGTTATGATTATTTTGATTTAAATGTTTTATTGTTATTGGATGAGTTTAAAATTTTCAGATTTATATTAAATGTTAAATGATAATGTATTTTATAAATAACATTTTTTGTTATTATGTTTAATATTTTTTTTTAATTGAATGTGAAGGGGTAAATATATATTAATATTAATAATAATTAATTGAATGTGAAGGGGTACAAAAATATTAATATTAATTAATAATAATAATTAATATTAATATTTTGAACTTTGAATATTAATAGATTAATAAAGTATATTATTGAATTTCATGAATGTGAAAAGATATGTTGTATCTTTATCAAATTAAAAGAGGAATGTGAAAGATCTCAGATTAAAAGAGGAATGTGAAAGATTATAGCAATCTCTTAATATTCATGGAAATCAATAAAACACAAACGAATCATTAGTAATTTATCAAATTAAAAGCGGAATGTAAAAGATTTCAAATTAAAAGAAGAATGTGAAAGATTTGTATTGAATGCATGTGAATAATCCCTATTATAGCAAGCCCAATAAATAGCAAACACGTGGACCAATTAACGACATCCTATATGGCGATCATATATCAATCCTACGTGGCGTTAGAAGAAGCAGTCTGCTTCAGCATTATATTAAACGTTAAATGATAATACGTTTTATAAAAATATTTTTCGTTATTATGTTTGATATTTTTATTTAATTGAATGTGAAGGGGTAAAGATATATTAATATTAATAATAATTAATTGAATGGGATGGGGTACAAAAATATTAATATTAATTAATAATAATAATTAATATGCATGAATGAACGTTGAATATTAATGGATTAATAAAGTGTATTATTGAATTTCATGAATGTGAAAAGATATGTTGTATCTTTATCAAATTAAAAAAGGAATGTGAAAGATTTATCAAATTAAAAAAGGAATGTGAAAGATTATAGCAATCTCTTAATATTCATGGAAATCAATAACACACAAGCGAATCATTAGTAATTTATCAAATTAAAAGAGGAATGTGAAAGATCTCAAATTAAAAGAGGAATGTGAAATATTTGTATCGAATACATTAGTTGAATGCATATGAATAATCCCTATTATAGCAAGCCCAATAAACAACAAATACGTGGACCAATTAACGACATCTTACATGGTGATCATATATCGATCTTACGTGGCATCAGAAGAAGCATTCTGCTTCAGCATTATATAAATATATAGATTTCATAAGACGGCAATATGACAAATGTAAGAAATTCATATATGTAATTATATAAAAAGAGTCACATTATATATGGTACATTAGAATAAGATAGAATTATAATTAAAGTAAATATAAAGCATAGCACTGCATATATTTATTGAACAAATTTATTAATGAAAGAGCAAACCAATTCTGTCTAAGTTTTTTTACATGGTAAAATGAACAACTTTATTTATTAATTGGTATAAGTTTAAAAGTAATTTTTCCTTTAATTTACAAGGTACAGGAGAAATCTTGAATAGAATAATATATCGTTCTTGCTCTGGAATGCAATCTCATGCATTATGCCATTACATATCTGAAACAATGCACCCATTCCAGACCTTTTGATTTTTTGTATTTATATTTTTCTTCGTTCCATCTAAATTTAAAATAGGGATATATTATATTCAATGTTCCTTTCACATTCATAATTTGAATTCTTGATATTTTATCTTAGTTGATTATTCTATTTAGTTTGGTATGGATAATATATCCATAACTTTGGTTGAAATCGAGCTTGCAAATGGCCATTATTAATTATTCGAAGGACACTTTATTTTCCAAGTCAATGCACATGATTGTATTTTATATTGCAATTATTCCTTAGAAGAAAAACCATCGATAGTTATGAAAACGTGGGTGACTATATTAGATGTATTGTATCATTATTCATATTATAGATACAAATTTCTTATATAAATAATCAAATCCATGTCTTAGGTATGATTAAATAATAAAGACTAAAAGGAAAGAGTGCAGTTACATATATAAACTCTCTGTAAATACATAGTAATTCATAGAGAATAATAACTGAAAAAATAGAAAATAATAATAATAATAAAAAAGAAGATAGCTTGTTAGTAGAATTCTAAATCCTTATATTCAATTATCATCAATAAAATTTTCAACAAAATTACCTTTCTTTGTGAAAATCTTTCTTATAGGCTAGAATGGAATCTCATTATACTATTGTGTGTGTGTGTGTGTGTGTGTGTGTGTGTGGTTTTGAGGCACAAATAAAAAATTATTGGCCGGCCGATCGATACAGTTATGCAGGAGACTTTTATACTTGCTTTTACTAGTTTACTCATCGATACAGTTATGCAGGAGACTTTTATACTTGCTTTTACTAGTTTACTCATCGATACAGTTATGCAGGAGACTTTTATACTTGCTTTTACTAATTTGAGTAAACGACATTTTCCCAACCCAAGGTTTGTCTTAATGACATTTTCCCACCCCAAAAGTTTCAAAATACCACTTTTCTATCCAAAGTTTATATTTTGTTAATATCCAAAATATACTTCACTTTCTTAGCCGGCGTTCGACGCATTACCAGGAGCTAGGGTAAGAGGAGTTTTGTAGAGTGGAGACCGGTGAATCGCATGGTGGTGATTGATTGAATATTCGTCGCTGGAAATCAGTTAAGAACAAGAAACTCTAACTTTACAGTGGTTGAAAATTGGCAAGAAATCAGGTGCCGAAATGAAAAGGATTTTATAGATAAGAGATCGCAGGTTCAAATGGTGATGACAGAGAAAATTTTTGCTGTCGGAATCGGCTTTGGGTAGTAACAGAATATTAACTTTGGGTGGGAAAGTGGTAATTTGAAACTTTTTGGGTGGGAAATGGTCATTAAGGCAAACCTTGGTTGGGAAAAAGTCGTTTACTCTAATATCCCTTACGATTTTGTATTGATAGTAAATGTAGCCAGTATTGATTAACAACCAGAAGTGAAAGGAGGAAGAAGCTAATACTCGTAATTCTGAAACGTTTATGAATGCATTATACCCTTCAATAAAAGGAAATCTTGGTCCCCGAATACACAAAGCTACTCATGGTCATTTAGTCGTAGGCAGGAAGTAAGTCGAAGGAGGAAAGTATATAGAGAGTAGCTTCAATAATGAGCTAGCATTCGGATCCCTTCATCAATGGTGACTTAACAACAAAGATTTAATTAGTATTTAGTAACACTTTTTCCGTACATTCACACTTGAAAAACCTATCATATACAGTACATGTATATGTTGTAAATAATATATGAATTAAAGAAGAAATTCTAATAGAGATAATATGCAATATAAAATAAAATAGGTATTATAATAAAAATACAGGAAGAAGTGTTTCTAATTAATGTATATTTATCTATTGTCTCATTTACCAAAATGTGCAAGCTACTTATACTAATTCTTGCCACCATTCTGACCAAGAGGATTGAGAAGGGATGTTGACGTTTTCCTAATTGGCTCCACTTGCATTAGATAATTCTGCAACTTAAATTAGTCAACTCCATTTCCATAGAGTTGGTAGGATAAGAAGTGACCCGGTCTAGGAGATTAACAAGGAATGGTGGAAATCCACTCACTTCAGAACACTACAAATATATTGAAACCCCACATCCTCGAAGCATACATTTCTTGCATATCTATCACATAGTTGGCTGAAAACAAGAAATGGGATCTACCAAACTCATTTCACTTCTCTTCTGTCTCCTGTTGGTCATCTCTACCTCTGCAGCCACTCAGAAAAAGATATCACGTGAGCCTTGTAAAACGCTTGTGGTCTACTTTCATGACATACTTTACAATGGACAGAACGCGGAGAATGCAACTTCAGCAATTGTAGCTGCACCGGCTTGGGGCAACGAGACTATCTTAGCCGAACCAACCCATTTTGGCGACATAATTGTGTTCGATGACCCTATTACCTTAGACAACAATCTGCATTCAACCCCAGTTGGACGTGCACAAGGGCTATATTTATATGACGGGAAACACACCTTTAATACTTGGTTTGGTTTCTCTTTTACGTTCAATTCTACAGGGCACAAGGGTAGCATAACCTTAGCTGGGGCTGATCCATTCTTGGAAAAGACTAGGGATATTCCAGTGATTGGAGGAACTGGTGACTTCTTCATGGCTAGAGGTATTGCCAATTTCATGACTGATGCCTTTGAGGGGGAAGTATATTTTAGGGTCCGCGTTAATATCAGTTTATATGAATGCTGGTGATTTTTTTGCCCTTTTTAATACAAGTTTTTCATGTTTCACGTTGTGGAGTCATGTAAAATGATATTTCAAATAAAACATGATCAAACATGAGGATAAATAATAATGTATTGGCTTCAATTCGCAAATTAACGAAATTTGAGTTTTTCTTTTTTCTGTGAATTGTCTCTCTCTATCAGTTTTATGTAGAGATAAAGAAAAGAAAAGAAAACCTTAAATATTGGGAATTTGGGATATCTAGCGCCTTAACTTTGGTATTTACTACGTACGTATATATAATTATTGGGTCTCCAGACTCTCCGCCAAGAATCTTATCAGAGATGAATTTCCACCAAGAAAGGATATTTCAGTTATTGGAGGAACTGCTGACTTCTTCATGGCCGAGAGGAATTGCCACTTTGATGACTGATGCCTTTGATGGAGAAGTTTACTTTCGGCTACGTATTACTATTAACTTGTACGAGTGTTGGTAATGGTAAAGGTTTAATGGTTATCGAATAATTCTATTTCAACTTGGTACAACTTTTGTACTTTCTATAAGAGCTTCATCATTATTTATCCATTTTTAGCCCTTTGCTTTTATATATGTTTAGTTTATGATACTTTTAATTTATTTTACATCATTCTCTAAGAAATTGATGTTTGTTTGTAGATGCAATAATGCAGAGGCTGATATATTATTAGTTTTTTTGGGTTAAGCAGTGACCAATAGATAAGAAACTCTGCATTCTCCAGGCACAACTAAACTGTTTTATTAACGGATGGGTAGCTTAGTGTTAGTTTTTGAAACGTTTGGTAAATGATTGATTGTTCTTTAAACCTTAGGTGGGTCTTATTGATTTTCCCATTGAACATTATAAAACATATCGGCTTGTCGTTTTTTCCAACTATTACTAACCATTACAACTGGAGGGTTTCTGTATTAACGGACGACTTGTAGGTAGATATTTTAAGCCATGAACGACAAACCACTCAAACATCAACTTGGAAACCGACTTAACATCCTTAATGGGGTTATCTTATCCTTGAATGGTATGGTGAAAGTAGGTAATTTTGGGAAGAAGATAAAAGGTTGTTAGAACTTAAGCCTAAGGGACAGCCCAACCCAAAAGACCGGCCTGATAGGTGGAAGAGCCCCTCGACTTAAGTACCACGCTTGGTGAGTGTGAGATCCCGATGTGGGATCCTAACATTGCACACCCCCCCCCCCCCCTCCTTCAAGAGCTGACGTCTACGATGGCTTTCACTCTATCGATATTGACCCAATGGTAGCCATTGTCCCCTTTGGACGGCTTCACTCACCTATCAGTTATTCGATACAGCACCCACTCCCAAGGAGAGCACACTACACCTTAATCTAGCCATAGGTAGCCCTTTCCACAGCCCAACTCTCAAAGAAAGCACCAATGTTAGAACTTAAGCCCAAAGGAGAGCCTAACCCAAAAGATTGGCTTGATAGGTCGAAGAGCCCCTAGGCTTAAGTACCACACTTGGAGGGTGTGAGATCTCGATGTGGGATCCTAACAAAGGCTGAAAATTTATTGGCGCTATACACAGATAGCTTTTCTCTCTATCTTCTGTGTATTGATAGTTTAAGAAAGAAAGAAATATGACCAAAGGTTCAGAGTCAGTGCAAGTGTGAAAGCCATGCGAAGCATAATGCTATCATGGAGCGTTTTGAAGGCACATTATTTGCCTTCATCTCCTAAACCTTCAAAATCTTGTAACGCCTGTTTCTTTTCTTTCAACTCTTTCTCCAAGAACCACCTTCGAAGCTCTCTCTTCGCAACCTAAGTCTCATTTTTTTTCCAGGTATTTCTATTGAATTTCATAACTTCAAGAACTGAACGAATCATTTTAGTTAAAAATTGAAATGACAAGGTTTTTTTGTTATGTAGGGACTCCAAAAAGTGGTGTCACAACAGAAGTGATGAGTGGTTTGGGTGCTCTCTACAGGTAGTGTTAAAAAATCAGGATGTCCTTGTAAGATTTCTTAGCAATCTTGTTGTTCTTCTTAGTTTTTAAAAAAAAAAAAAAAAAAATTGCTATACATTTTAGAGAATGTTATGCCTAAAATATCAGGGCTAACGTAAGCTCACATCAGTAAGCACCAATTAGAGTTCAGGAAAGCTTTGCACTATCTAGAATCTACCACGTTGCCCTAAGACAGAGGGAATACGGTTGTCACCAACCCAACAGATTCAAGTTATGTCTGTGAATGAACGAAGTCCGCACACCCATCCAAGCCCTAGATAATTTGAGGACATCTCTTAAGTTATCAGCCAATGGGACGTAAGGAAGGACTTGCACGGCACCTACCCACTTGCAGACTTGTAATCATTATCTTGAATACGGCAGCTATAAATAGAGGACTCCCTCTTAAAAAATTAGGATCTTTGATTTTCATAATCACAAATAGCAAAGACAACCTACGGGAAAGAGACTGGCTTAATATTTCTTTCTGAATATACAATCCTTGTACTTCTATTCATTGTTCGCGATCTCTTGTAATTTGGCTAATAACTAGAAACACTTATATAAAAGACAACAGTGGATGTAGGAATCGCTTTAAGCATCCAAATTACTATAAAATTCCCACTGTCTTATTTATTATTGAGTCTTTGCACTTTGTTATAACCTTATCTTCACTCAAATTAATCACATGTAATTTCTAAGACTCTCTTAGCACTTTGCACGTGCGAGGTCGTTGGTGTCAAAATCAAGCATCAACAGTTTGGCACTAGAAGGAGGGCGAGATTTCACATTAGCTCTTCATTTGGAATTTTTAACTGATCAATCAGTTTTACTAGTAAACTTATGGCTCAAGGTCTTGAAACCGAGCGCACTATCACCAATAACAAGGAGACCCTCGAGTTTAGGAGATTACTCTCTCGAAGTAACTCCACCTCCCCAAAGTACTACAGTGGGCAACCCCTCAACTTCTCAGCTAGATCCGGCTGTTATGGATTATCTGGAAAGGTTTAACAACACTCTTCAAATGATGAACCAAAGGTTAGATCGTCTGGATCAAGTCATACTAAAGCATGGAAACGAGCAAAAGCTCATACCACGCACACTATAGTGTGCAAAGAAAAGGGAAAGCAAGTGGCTAATCATGGGCCAAAAGGCTCTAAAGGGCCAGGGAATAGTGGTCACGAGACAGGGCGAATACATGTAGCTTTGAGACTTGGCAGTATGTCGCACTGTGAGCCATCTCATGCCATATCACAAGGGCACCCCCACAAGAGTGCTCGGCAAGAAGATTCTCAGCATCGCCAGAATGATAGTCCTAACCACCACTGCGAGGGAAATATCCACCATCTGTGGGTCGGTTCTAACCACCGCAGAGATAGGAGAACTCCCCAAGTCATTCAGTGCCTTCACAGGGCTCCAGCCAGCATGTGTCAAGGCCCATCAAAGGCTCTAGCTAAGGCAGGGAAGATTCCGACCTGTAGTCCTTCCTTGATCGCAATCATAGGGAATGTAACTATATTGTGGAAAGTTATCCTTAGAGGGCTCCGCTTCCTCTAAATAGAAGAGTTATAGTGAGCTTTGGATCAACTTAAAGCTTAACAGAATGAGCGAGGGCAGGTCGCTAAGGTGTCTCCCTTTTCTCTAGCAGTTTTGACTGCTCCTCTCCCGTCAAGATTTAGAATACCCGAGATGAGAGCATTCGATGGGAATTCTAATCTGCAAGATCATCTTTATGACTTTAACGACCTCATGGAGCTTCACCAAGTTTCCAACTTGGCGAAATGTTGCTACTTAGAAGTGACTCTGACTACCCATGCTAAACATTGGTTCAAATTGCTTCCACCAAGGTTTATCAACTCGTGACAACAAATGAATTCGTTATTTTTGAGACACTCCCAAGCCAATCGAAAGTTCTCAATGCCATTAAAGTATCTCAGTAACATACAATAAGAGAAGAATGAATTCCTCTAGTTCGACATTGACAGATTTCAAGGGAACTGAATAAGGTAGCTAATGCGCTTGAAGATTCAGTTCGAACTCTAATTAGTGCTGGAGTTCGCCTGCAAACCGAGCTATGGAAGAAACTACAATCTGAGGACAATATTTCTCTCACTCGCTTCTACAACCTTATAGAAAAATATCTGAGAATATAAAATTTATTAACAGCTTTAGGTTGCCACGACCCAGAGCTTTTCAATCAGTGCTTCCAGTCGAAGAGAGAAAAAATGGGGGGAGAGTAGTAGAAGACCTGATCGCAAATGGGCTAATGACGATTAGAGATTGGGAAAGAAACAATGGTTTGAGCCCAAGAAATCCTATGCCCAAGTTCCCTGTCGCAATCGTAATCCAGATCTATTTACTTCGCTCAATGCATCAGTTTCAGTTATTCTAGATAAGTTAGAAGAAACTAATATGTTTGGAGAGCCAAAGCCTATGAAAAAACCCACATCTAAAAGAAACAACAAGAAATATTGCCGTTACCATCAGGATAATGGGCATTATACCAATGAGTGTCGAGCTCTTAAGTAGGCAATTGAAGACCTCCTTCAAAAAAGGCACTTCAAGGAGTATGTTGATGGTCTAACTTCCACTAGAAAGAAGGATCAAGAGGGCGATGGAAAGAAGCATCGAGGTCGCAAGGGTCTCCATCTAATAAGGACTATCTTTGCGAGACTACATATCATTGGGAACTCTCGAAGTGCTTAGGAGAAATATGCTCGAGAGGCTTAGCAAAAGCTATTAAATGTCTTAAATCTAGCACCGCGACCTAGTAAGGTGTACAGAGAAGAAGAGATTGCCTTTTCTAAAAAAGACATGGTACGACTGCATCACCCTCATGAGGATGCACTGGTCATCGCGGCTTAAATAGGAAGGTGCGAAATCCACAAGATGTTAGTGGACAATATGAGCAACATGAATATCTTGTTTCAGTGAGCTTTCGTGGAAATGCAATTAGAAAAGAAAGATTTGAAGCCTATCTCCATTCCTCTGTATGGGTTTACAAGAGATCATCTGATTCTTAGAGGAACAATTTCACTTCCTGTCACTTTGGGAGAAATCCTCAAAGTGACCAAAATGACAGAATTTCTGCTAGTAGATTATCCATCAGCTTTTACCATCCCGTGACGACCTGCACTACATAATTTCAAGGTTGTCACCTCCGTTTACCATCTAAAGATAAAGTTTCCCACTCAAATAGGGTGTGGGGAAGTCAAGAGATCTCAACGTGAATCTCTCGACTGTTATATTAGAGTAGTGCAGATGATATGCAAAGGGAAAAGGAAGCATGTGGGTATTCCCAAACAAGCAATGGCGATCAGCAAGATCGAACCACGGCCTGATCCAGTGGAAGACAGTATTGATCTTCATGTTCAAGAGGAGTATTCCCATTGTGGGCCAGTTGAGACTTTATCTAAGGTTTCTATCAACTAGAGTGAGCCGACTCATGTACTAAGAATCGGAAGCAATCTCAGCTCTTAGCTCGCACTTGATTTAAAGACTTCCTCATACAAAATATAGATGTTTTTGTATGAACTCA